TGCGGCTTTAATATCGCACTGATATGCGGCTTTAATATCGCACTGATATGCGGCTTTAATATCGCCCTGATATGCGGCTTTAATATCGCACTGATATGCGGCTTTAATATCGCACTGATATGCGGCTTTAATATCGCCCTGATATGCGGCTTTAATATCGCACTGATATGCGGCTTTAATATCGCACTGATATGCGGCTTTTAATATCGCACTGATATGCGGCTTTAATATCGCACTGATATGCGGCTTTAATATCGCACTGATATGCTGCTTTAATATCGCACTGATATACTGCTTTAATATCGCCCTGATATGCGGCTTTAATACCGCACTGATATGCTGCTTTAATATCGCCCTGATATGCGGCTTTAATATCGCCCTGATATGCGGCTTTAATGCCGCACTGATATGCTGCTTTAATATCGCCCTGATATGCGGCTTTAATGCCGCACTGATATGCGGCTTTAATGCCGCACTGATATGCTGCTTTAATATCGCACTGATATGCGGCTTTAATGCCGCACTGATATGCGGCTTTAATATCGCACTGATATGCGGCTTTAATATCGCCCTGATATGCGGCTTTAATATCGCCCTGATATGCGGCTTTAATATCGCACTGATATGCGGCTTTAATATCGCCCTGATATGCGGCTTTAATATCGCACTGATATGCGGCTTTAATATCGCACTGATATGCGGCTTTAATATCGCCCTGATATGCGGCTTTAATATCGCACTGATATGCGGATTTAATATCGCACTGATATGCGGCTTTAATATCGCACTGATATGCGGCTTTAATATCGCACTGAAGTAGCACAGTTTCACAGCCGCACCGTTGTGACCCGGGTCTTAAAGATGACGCTTCATTTGAGTATATTTTGTCTTCTCTGGCTCCTCCCTCCCCTCACATTAACATGACATTTATTTATTTATTTCAGGTACTTATATAGCGCCGTCAATTTACGCCACACTTTACATGTATGTTCTACAGGGGCAGACTGACCATTTAGTCACTCGGGCACTGCCCGAGGGCCCGGGGTCAGTAGGGGGCCCCATGAGATGCTCCTGGTACCTTTCATAGGCTTTTTTGGGTGTGGTTTGAGTGTGGGCGAGGACACAGGGGCCCCATGATTTCCTATTGCCCGGGGGCCCCATGAGTTGTCAGTCCACCCCTGATATTGTACAGTCACATCAGTCCCTAACCCTCAAGGGGTGTACAGTCTAAGGTCCCTAACTTACATTCATACATACACATACTAGGGGCAATTTAGACAGGATCCAATTCACCTACCAGCATGTCTTTGGAGTGTGGGAGGAAACCGGAGTACCCAGAGGAAACCCACACAGGCACAGGGAGAACATGCAAACTCCAGATGCAGACATTTTAAATGAAACCTTTCTATTTTCATTACATGCCTTCATTTAAACCCAGTGACATCATCACTGGGTCTCTGTGCTTCTCTATGCAACGCTGGCAGATCATGGCTGGTGGGAGGACCAGTAGGGTGCTTTACAAAGCTTCCCGAAAACATCCCATCACTCTGCCTCAGTACTCCTCTTAAGAGTTCTCAGATGGCTGAACCTCCGTTCCCCGATCTCCTCTGTGTTGAGTGAACCTGTAAGCGATGAGGATTTTGTCACTTCTAGTTTCAGAGCCGTCCAGCCAAAGAAGCAGCTGACCTATCAGGATCTGGGATTGGTTATGTACTCTGGAGGGCAGGGGATACCCCTGATGTCTCCATAAAGAGGACCTGTCATTGCCCAAACCTTTCACAAGGGAGAGTGTTAGCCCCTTGTGGTAGCAATAAAGGTAAATGAAAAAAATAAAAAAGTGTACAAAAAATGTCAATAAAATAAATAAAAATAATTTTAAAAAATGAAAAGTAGGTTTGCAGCAATATATCAGTGTAATGTATCAGCCTACAACCAAGTAATCGGTATTGTGCCAATAGGAGAAAAGGTGCCCATAATGGCCGCTGAAAGCGCGTGATTTTAGCCACGATTTTGCCACAATTAGGGGGCGTTTTTCAGAGGTCACGTGACTCAAAAAAATGCATCACAAACACAACACGTGTGCATTTCAGGCATGGTTGGCACCTATGCAGTTTGTGTTTTGTTTTGCAGTGCGTTTTTCTTGCGTTTTTTGAAGCATTTTGCGTTTTTTTGGACTTTTTTTGGCTAACTTGTTGCTGGGCAGATTAAAAATGCAAAACGCATCATATAGGCAACGCGTTTGCATTTTTGATGCATTTTCAATGCATTTCAGGCCTGGTTCACACCACTGCAGTTTGTGTTTTATTTGTTTTGCAGTGCGTTTTTGTATGTGAGTTTTTGAGGTTTTTTTTAATGCATTTTGAATTTTTAAAAAATTTTTTTGCCAACTTGTTGCTGTGCAGATTAAAAACGCAAAATGCATCAAAAATGCAATACGTGTGCATTTTTTATGCATTTTCAATGCATTTCAGGCCTAATTCACACCACTGCAGTTTGCGTTTTGTTTGTTTTGCAGTGCGTTTTTGAGGATTTTTAATGCACTTTGAGTTTTTTTACATTTTTTGGCCAACTTGTTGCTGTGCAGATTAAAAAAAACAAAGCGCATAAAAAATGCAACTCGTGTGCATTTTGGATGCGTTTCAGTGCATTTCAGGCCTGGTTCACACCACTGCAGTTTGTGTTTTGTTTGTTTTGCAGTGCGTTTTTGTATGTGCATTTTTTTAGGGTTTTTTTTAATGCATTTCGAGTTTTTTTTACCTTTTTTTGGCCAACTTGTTGCTGTGCAGATTAAAAACACAAAATGCATAAAAAAAATGCATCTCGTGTGCATTTTGGATGCGTTTCAGTGCATTTCAGGCCTGGTTCACACCAATGCAGTTTGTGGTTTGTCCATTTTGCAGTATGTTTTGCATTTTTGCATGCACATTTTGTACGCTTTTTTTAGGCACTTTGCGGTTTTTAATTTTTTTTGGCCAACTTGTTGCTGGGCAGATTAAAAATGCAAAACGCATCAAAAATGCAACATGTGTTGTGTTTTTTATGGATTTTCAATGCATTGCAGGTCAGGTTCACACCAACACAGTTTACGTTTTGTCCGTTTTGCAGTGCGTTTTGTGTTTTTGCACGCGCATTTTTGACATTTTATTTTTAAGCGTTTTATTTTTTTTTGTTTTTTTTTCTTTTTTTTGGCCAACTTGTGGCTGGACAGATTAAAAACACAAAACGCATCAAAAACTAATTTTTTATGCATTTTCAATGCATTTCAGGGCTGGTTCACACCAATGCAGTTGCTTTTTATCTGTTTTGCAGTGCGTTTTGAGTTTTTGCATGCACATTTTTGATGCGTTTTGCATTTTTTTTTGGCCAACTTGCTGCTGGACAGATTAAAAAGTCCAGAGATTTCCCCTGCAGTACTTTTTCTTTGCTGTTAGATGCCCTCAGGCTGATGGCCAGCATCATTCAATACACTTTCTCTGATCCCAGGTCATCCTGGACCCACCCCCAGCCTGTGACTTGGACAGCAAAAGGAAAAAAGGAGCACAGTGAGGAGTTCATCTCTCTGTCACTCTGCTCTCTCCTCCTATCAGAATGCTTCTTGTCAGCACAGGAACTGATTGGCTCTTTGTGCTGCTACTTCCTCTCACACTCCAGCCCTGCTGTACAGGGACTGCAGGAGGCTGATAACAGGTCACATTCAGCTCCTTACACTGCTTGTATTACAAAAACATTTAATGGCGTACAACCGAATGCAAAGCTGTATTGTTCTGCGTCTTTTATATCCCTTCACTGACACCGATGATGGGGCACTATTCCTCCCACTGACACCGATGGGGCACTATTTCTCCCACTGACACCAAAACGATGGGGCACTATTCCTCCCTCCCACGATGGACACCGATGATGGGGCACTATTCCTCCCACTGACACCAAAGATGGGGCACTATTCCTCCCCCACTGCACACCCCCCAACGATTGGGGCACTATTCCTGACCACTGACACTCCCAATGACACCAAAGACGGGGCACTATTCCTCCCACTGACACCCCACTGATGGGGCACTATTCCTCCCACTGACACCAACAGTGTGGCACTATACCCCCAAATTACACCAACAATGCCGCACTATTTCTCCCACTGACAACCGTCCCAACAGAGCACCATTCCTCCCACTGACACCAAAAGACGGGCACTATTCCACCCACTGACATAAGTGGGCACAATTCCTCCCACTGACACCAATAATGGGGCACTATTCAGACCACTGACACCAACAATATATCAGACCACTGACACCAAAGATACGGCACTATTCCTCCCTCCCACTGACACCAAAGACCGGCACTATTCAACCCACTGACATAAGTGGGCACAATTCCTTCCACTGACACCACCAACGATGGGGCACTATTCAGACCACTGACACCAACAATGGGGCACTATACCCCCAAAATTACACCAATGATGGGGCACTACTCCCCCACTGATACCAATGATGAGACACTATTCCTCCTACTGACACCAAAGATGAGGCACTATTCCTCCTACTGACACCAATGGCGGGGCACTACTCCCCCACTGATACCAATGATGGGGAACTATTCCTCCCCCCACTGACACCAACGATGGGGCACTGTTCCTCCCCCACTGATACCAATGATGGGGCACTATTCCTCCTACTGATACCAATGATGGGGCACTATTCCTCCCCCCACTGATACCAAAGATGAGGCACTATTCCTCCCCCCACTGATATCAATGATGGGGAACTATTCCTCCCCCCACTGACACCAACGATGGGGCACTATTCCTCCCCCACTGATACCAATGATGGGGCACTATTCCTCCCCCCACTGATACCAATGATGGGGCACTATTCCTCCCACTGATACCAATGATGAGGCACTATTCCTCCCACTGACACCAATGATGGGGCACTATTCCTCCCACTGACACCAATGATGAGGCACTATTCCTCCCCACTGACACCAATGATGGGGCCCTATTCCTCCCACTGATACCAGTGATGGGGCACTATTCCTCCCACTGACACCAATGATGAGGCACTATTCCTATTCCAATGATGGGACACTATGACTGACCAATGATGGGGCACTATTCCTCCCACTGATACCAATGATGGGGCACTATTCCTCCCACTGACACCAATGATGGGGCACTATTCTCCCCACTGATACCAATGATGGGGCACTATTCCTCCACTGACACCATGATGGGGCACTATTCCTCCCAATGATACCAATGATGGGGCACTATTCCTCCCACTGATACCAGTGATGGGGCACTACCAATGATGGGGCACTATTCCTCCCACTGACACCAATGATGGGGCCCTATTCCTCCCACTGACACCAATGATGAAAGCACTATTCCTCCCACTGACACAAATGTGGGGCACTATTCCTCCCACTGACACCAATGATGGGGCACTATTCTCCCCACTGACACCAATGATGGGACACTGTTCCTCCCACTGATAACAAAAATGGCAAAAAATTCCTGGTGCTGCAACATTTTCCCTGATAAGTGAGCTGCACCTGCTTTGTCTATTTATTTGATTTGTATTATAAATAGTGCACAATATTTCCCTTTCATCAATAATATGCTGCTAGTTCTAGTTCCCATCTGTGTGTTTTGAGCCGGTGTGTCTTTGTGGAAGGGTCAGGGTCTTTCTTTCTCTTCAGCAGATTGCATTTTGCGTGTTATAGACTTCAATGGAACTGCATCAGAAACGCATGAAGAATGGTTTTTGGTGCGTTTCCTGCATAACAACAGACTCCTCCCTCTATCAACATTAAACGCACTAAAAAAAGTGCAAAACGCAGAAAAAAAGCATTAAAAACATTTCAAAAACACGTGTGAACAAATACTAAGGACACCGGGGAAAATGCACCAATCACAACCTGCATGAGTGTGAACCTAGCCTCAGACCTCGTTTACACAGGCGGTAAAAACAAGGGGTTCGGCTGCCATTTTTCTGCCCAACAAAAGCATAACAGGGCAGCAGGAGGGGATTGTAAACATGCCATGGCAAACGAAGTGTTACTAAACCCACAACAGTAAACATCAGTCTGTATATGCAGTAAAGCATGCTTGTTATACCCACTGTGGAACCTAAGGGGTTAATCCTCTGCATTGTACAAAAAGGCCGTTTGATCCTGCCTTCTCTGATCCTCCCCTTCTTCCAGTGTCCCCAATCCATGTGCTGATAGTACAGAGCCCTAGGAGTCACTGTGCACATGCTCAGTTTAGTATGTATTGCTACAGGGTTTTTTTTCCTTTTGGAGGGTGCATGTGGTCAGCACAGGGCAAATCAGCGCTGTCCAGACAGAGGGTCAGGGGTTATGCAGCCTCATAGGACAGTCAGCGCAGAATGAAAACTCCTACAAGATTAACCAGTGCTCAGCTGGGCACTGATAGAAGTCACAAGACTGCTCTAACTGCTGATGAGAAAAGGTATTTAGAAGTTTATATTTACTAAAATAATTGCATTTCCATGTTCTGTGTACTGTGTGAGAGACCAGATATAGTGAATGTAGGGTCCTGGGTTTAGGTTAGGAACACTAATGCAGGCCATAGATGAGTCGAACATTGGCCGATTTTTCGAACGATAAACAAAAAATCGGTCGTTCATTCGGCTGATGTTACCACCCACGGTTTAAAAAATCGGCCAACTAAATCATAAAGTTCACCCCATAACTTCTGTCCCTTGCAGGTCGCTGCTCATGCGCCGATTTTTTATCGTGAAAACGATTGGCCGATTTGGCCATCATTGCTGGGAATTTTCCAAAATAACCGAAAATCTCAAAGTGCCAAAAACCCGAAGAACGGCCGACCAATTAACCCACTAACGGTTCGAAGATCGGCCAATTTTTGCACTGTCTATGGCCGGCATAACTAAATTTAACCCAATAGGCTAGGTGGCGCCACATGTCTAACATGCTCATTGACATCAATGGGACCGCACTGCAGCCACGAGCCCACCGCTTGGCTCACAGGTTCAACGTGGTAATGCAAGATTCCCGTTTGACAACATTTTTTTTTACAAAAAAGTACACAAGATCCAGCGAGCAGACAGTTCCAAAAACGTATCACATGATGCATGGCATGCTGGATGGGCGGAGCTTCGTAAATTATAATGGTAAGTAGTCATTCTGTGCATTTAGCGTATTGTGATCGCACGTAAAATGCGATGGCGTGAGAGGGCCCTTAGTGTCCGGTCACACTAGTGCGATTTGCAATCGTACCAAAATTCGCATCTAATGGAAGTGAATGTCAGTGTCTTAACATGTGCGATTTGCTGCAGCGCAATTTCTAAAGTAGTTCTTGCATTACTTTATCTGCAGTTTTCTTGCGATTTCACATTCAAAGAATATAATGGAAATCGCAGCGCAAATTGCACAAAATCATTGAAAAAATTCACAAGTAGCAATAAAGTCTACAGAAATCGCACCTGAAATTGTGCTGAAATTGCACACAAATGGTATCAGTGTGACCGGTGACATAGTGTCGTAACAACTGCGATTTGCTGCAGTGCGATTTTTAAAGTAGTTCTTGCATTACTTTTTCTGCAGTTTTGTAGCGATTTCACATACAATATAATGGAAATCGCACCGCAAATTGCACAAAATTGTTGAAAATCTTCACAAGTAGTAATACAGTCTATAGAAATCGCACCTGAAATTCTGCTGAAATTGCGCTTAAATCACAGCAGATGGGCGGAGCTTCATAAATTATAATGGTAAGTAGTCATTATGCGCATTTAGCGTATTATGATCCCTCGTAAAATGCGATGGCATCAAAGGGCCCTTAGTGCCCGGTCATACTGGTGCGATTTGGGAATTGAAATCACAGCTGAAATCGCATCTAATGAATGTGAAAGTTAGTGCCCCGTTACACTGGTGCAATTTACAAATTGAAATCGCACCCGAAATTGCATCTAATGGATGTGAATGTCAGCGTCTAACATGCGCGATTTCTAAAGTAGTGCTTGCATTATTTTTTCTGCAGTTTTGTTGCGATTTCACAAAGAAATAATATAATGGAAATCGCATTGCAAATTTGCACGAAATTGTTGAAAATAAAAATCTTCACAAGTAGCAATAAAGTCTATAGAAATTGCACCTGAAATTGTGCTGAAATTGCACTTAAATCTCATCAGTGTGACCGATGACTTAGTGTCGTAATGTGCAATTTGGATGTGGATGTGAATATCAGCGTCTTAACATGTGCGATTTGCTGCAGCGCAATTGCTAAAGTAGTGCTTGCATTATTTTTTTGTTTTGTTGATATTTCACATTGAAAGAATATAATGGAAATCACAGCGCAAATTGCACGAAATCGTTGGAAATCTTCACAAGTAGCAATAAAGTCTATAGAAATCGCACCTGAAATTGCGCTGAAATTGCACACAAGTGGCATCAGTGTGACCGGTGACTTAGTGTCATAACATTAGCGGGCAGCACAGTGGCTAAATGGTTAGCCCTTCCCCTGGCAGTACTAGGATGACGGGTTGTTGGTTCGAATCCCAGCCTTGGCACCACCTGCCTGGAGTTTGCATGTTCTCCCTGTGCCTGTGTGAGTTTTCTCTGTGTCCTCTGGTTTCCTCCCACACATGTTAATTGGTTCCTGTCTAAATTGGCCCTAGTATGTGTATGTATGAATGTGAGTTAGGGACCTTAGATTGTACACCCCTTGAGGGTGAGGGGACAGGGACAGACTGACCATTTGGAAACTCAGGCGCTGCCCGAGGGCCCGGGGTCAGCAGGGGCCCCATGAGATGCCCCTGGTACCTTTTTCATAGGCTTTTTTGAGTTTAGGCAAGGACACAGGGGCCCCATGATCTCCTATTGCCCGGGGGCCCCATGAGTTGTCAGTCCGCCCCTGTTAGGGACTGATGTGCAATATATATATATAACATATACGTAAAGCGCCGCGTAAAATTGATAGCGCTATATAAGTACCTGAAATAAATAAATAATAACAAATAAATAATTTGCTGCAGCGCAACTTCTAAAGTGGTTCTTGTATTATTCTTCCTTCAGTTTTGTAGCGATTTCACAGACACAGAATATAATGGAAATCACACTGCAAATCGCACAAAATCGTTGAAAATCTTCACAAGTCACAATAAAGTCTTCAGTAATCGCACCTGAAATTGCACACAAATCGTGCAATTAATTTTCAGCGCTGTGATCGGTGACTTAGAAAGGGGAATGAAGATGGCTCTGTCGTGGTAGACGGGATGATGCGACCATGCTTCTCTCCATGACACAATTACATGTACAGCAGTTAGGTGAAGGGGGCCCCGGGGCCAGACACATGTTTCAGCATGAGCCATCCTTGCTGTATAGGACAATAGGTCACCTCCTTGGGATTTGTGGACTCAGACGTCATGAGAAAAAAACTGGGCTTTCAGGGAAGCATGGATTGCTTTTAAGAGGCATTTACCATGCATTCCCTCTGCTTTGTATAGAGGATATGTTGCATCCTTACTGCCTGTCAAATGCCTCTGAACAGCAATCCACAATGGATCGCTTTTCAGAGGAGTGACAAGTTCGCCAAGAGGTCTTGAGGCAAATAAAAAAAATAAGTATCATGGACAGCGCTCAACGGCGTTGCTGCAAGCACATTAATAGGCTAAGTTCACACTAGCCCATTGGTGGATCACTTTTCAGAGTGTGGCTACGCACAGCGTTTGGCTCACGGTGGCAGCATGGTCCCATCAACTTGAATGACCAAGTTGAACAGGTAATGCCTCCTGTCAGCTCAACAAGCCGCCAAAAAATTTGGCGTGGCGGTGTAGCATTTCCTAGGTGAGGAGAAGACATATCGCCTCTTTGCTGCCTGTCAAACGTCTCTGAAAGCGATTGGACTGCAGATCGCTTATCAGAGGCAGGGCAATCTTGCTGCATGTCTAGCCTAACAAAGCGCACCACAGCCCACAAATGTGAATAATCTGTGTTGGGATAGTTGGCTTCAGAAAAGTGTAGCATGTGGCAGGGGCGGACTGACCATTTGGAAACTCGAGGTCAGTAGGGGGCCCCATGAGATGCCCCTGGTACCTTTTTCATAGGCTTTTTTGAGTTTGGGCAAGGACACAGGGGCCCCATGATCCCCTATTGCCTGGGGGCCCCATGAGTTGTCAGTCCGCCCGTCATAGGCTTTTTTGGGGCAATGTTGGGATCAGGGGCCCCTGATTTCCTTGTCTGGGGGCCCCAGTCCGCCCGTCCCGGGCAATAGGGGATCAAACAAAAAAGCCTATGAAAAAGGTACCAGGGGCATCTCATGGGGCCCCCTACTGAACCCGGGACCTCAGACGGTGCCCGAGTTTCCAAATGGTCAGTCCGCCCCTGCTATGAAAGGTACCAGGGGCATCTCATGGGGCCCCCTACTGATCCCGGGCCCTCGGGCAGTGCCCGAGTGGCTAAGTGGTCAGTCCGCCCCTGGCGGGATTCCAACGGGCACTATGTTTTCTACTCACAAGCCAAAAACATGCTGGCAGGCAAATGAGCTAACAAATATGCAGAAGAGTTGGCCGCACACCGGAGGAATGATGAAAAACATGCAAATGATTTGCTGATCCGTAGGACACAAAACGCACCAGTACATAGGCATGGCTGTTAACGCGTTTCACACGATCGCGTGCTTTTCATCATTCCTCCAGGGTGCGGCCAACCCTTCTTCCTATTTGTATGCATACGTGGTGGCGAGCCAGGGTCTGCACCTGTTGTGGTTTGATGCTGACCGTTTTATCTGACCGGTATTTCCTTTCTTCATTGGTGGCAAATGAGCTAGCAAGCTGGCCATACTGTGTTACCCCAGGTTCACACCCAAGCGTTCTCTGCAGCGTTTTGCAGAAACGCACTACAGCCCATTTAACATGATTTCCTATGGGACAGGTTCACATCTCAGCATTTTCACTCGGTGCGTTTTTTGGAAAGGGTCAGGTACTTGTGTTTTTGGTTCTATAGACTTTGATGGAAACGCTGCTAAAAGCATGTAGTGCATTTTTGCGGTATTTTTGATGCATTTATGATGCGTTTTAAATCTGCCTAGCAGCAAGAAAAACACAAAACGCATGTGCAAGAACACAAAACGCACTGCAGAAACAGCTCAAACGCAAACTGCATAGTTATGAACCTAGCCTTAGGCGGGGTTCACACCTGTGAGGTGCAGCATATCACATGAGAATTACGTGCGGTGTGATTGGAGCCATACAGTTTGGGTGCAGGACCCCTTTTTTTTTTGGTCTGCACTAGAATTGGATCCCATGGGTATTCACACCCATGCGATCTGATTCTGCACATCGCACCGCGTTTTGCGGACCGATTTGGGGGTTTTGTTAGCTTAACATACACACCCGCAGCGATCCGCATGAACGGGGTGCGATTGTGATGACATGCGTAATTCACACAGAAAACGCTGCGAATTCTGCACCGCATCAGTGTGAACCAGGGCTTAATGAAGGAGCTGACATTAGACTGCAAACTGTTTTGGGACAGATGTGAGTGGTCCTAGGTAAAAACAACACATATCTATACATATGTATATCTTTATTTATTTGTTTATTTAAGCTCCATGACCAGGGTCCTCCTGTTCCTTCTGTACTGAACTATATTGTTAGGTTAGTTAGGGTTAGTTAGTGTTAGGGTTACAGAGAAGGTTAGTGTTAGGGTTACGGAGGTGGTTAGTATGGAGATTATGGAGAGGAGTACTTTTATGGGGAAGGTTAGTGTTAGGGTTACAGAGAAGGTTAGTGTTAGGGTTACAGAGAAGGTTAAGTGTTAGGGTTACAGAGAAGGTTAGTGTTAGGGTTACGGAGGTGGTTAGTATGGTGTTATGGAGAGGAGTACTTTTAGGGAAGGTTAAGTGTTAGGGTTACAAAGAAGGTTAGTGTTAGGGTTACGGAGGTGTTAGTATGGAGATTATGGAGGGGTAGTACTTTTATGGGGAAGGTTAGTGTTAGGGCTACAGAGAAGGTTAGTATTAGGGTTAAAAGGAAGGTTAGTATGGAAATTATGGAGAGGGTTAGAGTGTACAGGGAAGGTTAATATTGAGGCTATTGAGAGGGTTAGGGTTATAGAGAACCTTAGTGTTAAAGTTATGGAGAGGGTTAGTGTTAGGGTTGCAAAGAAGGTTTGTGTGGAGATTATGGAGAGGGATAGGGTCACAGAGAAGGTTAGTGTTGGGTTAGAAAGAAGGTTAGTGTTAGGGTTACAAAGAAGGTTAGTGTGGAGATTATGGAGAGGGATAGGGTCACAGAGAGAAGGTGTAGGGTTAGAAAGTGTTATGGAGAAGGTTTAGGGTTATAGGGTCACAGGAAGGTTATTGTTAGGATTAAAGGGAAGGTTAGTACGGAGGGTTAGTATGGAGTTATGGAGAAGGTTAGGGTTATAGAGAACATTAGTGTTAAAGTTATGGTGAGAGTTAGTATAAGGGTTACAGAGAAGGTTAGTGTTAGGATTGCAGGGAAGGTTAGTATGGAGAATATGGAGAGGGTTAGGGTTACAAAGAATGTAAGTGTTAGAGTTATAGCGAAAATTAGTGTTAGGATTATAGAGAAGATTAGTGTTAGTTATAGAGAAGGTTAGTGTTAGGGTTAAAAGGAAAGTTAGATGGGAAATATAGAGAGGGTTAGGGTCACAGAGAAGGTTAGTGTTAGGGTCACAGAGAAGGTTATTGTTAGGCTTACAAAGAAGGTTAGTGTTAGGGTTACAGGGAGGGTTAGTGTGGAGGTTACGGAGAAGGTTAGTGTTGGGGTTACAGGGAATGTTAGTGTGGAGGTTATGGAGAGGGTTAGTGTTACGATGAAGGTTGGTGTGGGGGTTATGGAGAGGATTAGTGTTAGGGTTACAGGGAAGGTTGGTGTGGAGGATATGGAGAGGGTTAGTGTTAGGGTTACAGGGAAGGTTGGTGTGGGGGTTATGGAGAGGATTAGTGTTAGGGTTACAGGGAAGGTTGGTGTGGAGGATATGGAGAGGGTTAGTGTTAGGGTTGCAGCGAAGGTTGGTGTGGGTTTTATGGAGAAGATTAGTGTTAGGGTTATGGAGAAGGTTGGTGTGGGGGTTATGGAGAGGGTTAGTGTTAGAGTTACGAAGAAGGTTGGTGTGGGGGTTGTGGAGAGGGTTAGTGTTAGGGTTATGGAGGAGGTTGGTGTGGGGGTTATGGAGAGGATTAGTGTTAGGGTTATGGAGAAGGTTGGTGTGGGGGTTATGGAGAGGGTTAGTGTTAGGGTTATGGAGACGGTTGGTGTGGGGGTTATGGGGAAGGTTGGTGTGGAGGATATGGAGAGGATTAGTGTTAGGGTTATGGAGAAGGTTGGTGTGGGGGTTATGGGGAAGGTTGGTGTGGGGGTTATGGAGAGGATTAGTGTTAGGGTTATGGAAAAGGTTGGTGTGGAGGATATGGAGAGGATAAGTGTTAGGGTTATGGAGATGGTTGGTGTGGAGGATATGGAGAGGGTTAGTGTGGGGGTTATGGAGAAGGTTGGTGTGGAGGATATGGAGAGGGTTAGTGTTAGGGTTATGGAGAAGGTTGGTGTGGGGATTATGGGGAAGGTTGGTGTGGGGGTTTATGGAGAGGATTAGTGTTAGGGATTTAGGGTTATGGAGAAAGGTGTGTGGGGATATGGAGAGGGTTTAGAGGTTAGTGGGTTATGGAGAGGTTAGGGGGTTATGGAGAGGGATTAGTTAGGGGAGAAGGTTGGTGTGGTGGGGGTTATGGAGAAGGGTTTGGTGTGGGGGTTATGGAGAAGGTTGGTGTGGGGGTTACGGAGAAGGTTGGGGGTGTGGGGGTTTCAAGAAGGGTTACAAGGAAGGTTACAGTGAGGGGTCTCAGGGTATGTCACTCTCTGCTCTGTAAATCACCAATGCTGACCTCCCAGCACTGAATGTTGTAACCTATATCAGCCAATCCCTGCCCTCCATCTACTGCTCTGCCTATGATAGAACCTAGCCCCATATCTTTCCCTGCGTTCTGCCGCGTCTTCCTACATACATGTAACCTGGCCACACTCGGGGGTGTCATCGTGAATTCTAAGTGCGATCCCTTTAAGTAAGGAAGAGAAAATGTGAAACAATAAATCCTCCGTGTCCTAAGTGAACGGCGCCATCCTGCGCAGCCTACAGGTCCACTTTAAACCTCCAGACATGGGTTTGGGCCAAAGGTAAGCGAGCGCATGACACAATAGCCTGCATGGCGTTGTCACCAGCGGGGCCAGATTCCAAAGTCACTTCTAATCCCGCTGAATTCTATTCAACTGTCACCGTCACATGGACAACGCGGTGAATGAAATCAAGTCCCAGCGCAGCGCGGACGCCGACAGCTTTCTCCTCAAGTTGCAGAAAAAGAAAGGATGGAAAAAAAAAAACCAAATCCATGGAGAAGATACATTAACCCTTCATCTGCTGAGAAGCCCCGGGGCTGTGGAAGATATGGGAAAGCCAAGGATATACGATGAATCCGAGGACGACGCTTCGGGGGAAGTGCGACTGATGAAGAATTGGGAGATTTCAGGGAAAATCCTCGCCTTTGGTCCTTTATTTCTATAGATGAGCAGTTGAGGAGGGGGGGGGGAGGGGAGGGGGGATTAGGATTGTCCCCTTGTCCCTGAGTACACCTAATGAAGTCAGCGCTCTGCATGCAAATGAGCCTGGCGGACGCACGGGAAAGTGGAGAGAGTTCGCTAAATCTCCCCGTCCCCTCGGAACGAATAGTCCTCCATATGGGTGATAGAAAAATCAGTCACCCACCAGACCGAGGAAAAACTTCCCCCTATCGCCAGGGTCTAGCCGGAGATGACTTCGCAACGAAAACGCATTTGCAGACGCTTCGGGCAGCAAAATAGCAAAAAAAAAAAAAAAAAAAACGCAAAAAAAGCATTATTACCCCAGCCGGCGTTGCTATGTGACTTAACCCCTTCATCACCGAGATGCCGCAACAAAACACAGGCAATATTTTTTTTCCTTTTCCCCGCTCATCTGTCATAGCTTACTAAACGCACAAACACATATAGCGCCTTGTGGGTATATGCATTATGCATGGCTGACATTACAATACATCGTGCTGCATGCTATTAAATCACATGGAGGGGGGGGGGGGATTGCACGCTGCTTGGCATTCCAGCAGATCCCTTCCCATGTATGTAGGAATACAACAACGCACATCCATATATATATATTATATACACACACATCCTGCAAATGGAAACGATGAGCGCTGAG